TTCTAGTTTAGGTCACTGAAGATTAGAGATGGGACTTGAGCACCCCCTTGACTTGCATCCTCTGGTCTTCTTTAACAAAAACCAGGAGGAAAAGAAAGCTAGGCATCAGAAGCAATGGGTGGCAGGCCTGTTAATGGCTGCTCTGTACAGTGATCTGCCCTCAAGGAGACCCAACAGGCCAGTCCACTGCAGTGGCTTTCGATGTGGTAAGCCTGGGCTTCAGCAGAAGTCAGCTGGTGAAGAGCCCTGGCAGCTCTGCCAAGAGTTGGATCACTGGAAATGGACCTGCCCTGGAGTCGAAGGACGCCCAGGTCAGAGCCACAGATGTTATTGGCTCTAAGCTGAAAAGCCCTTCACTCGGCCCAGCTTTCAAAGTGACCACTGCAACTGAGGAAATGGCCAAGTAGGGCCAGTAACATTGCAGGCAGAACTGTATATTTCCTGTTGGAGCTGCCACTTGCCTTTACCTGGCCAGCTCTCCTCCCAGGCCAGCTAGGTAATAGAAGTCAACAGGGTGCCTTCCCCAAGGAGGTTCACACCTCCTGTAGGATGTACCCTATGAGGAGATAGATAAGTCTGGGCCTCATAATTTACAAGACTTTAAAGCCCACCTGATTATTATCAAGCCCCTTCTGTCAGGTTCTATTTGCCTCTCAATCAGAAAACTTATTTGTAGCTTAGACAGCACCTTTCTTAGCTCCTCTAATAACAACTCTGTCCTCTGTATCTAGCCCACTTGAGCCTTATTCCTTTGTAACCATAACCTCTACTCTACTACCAATGGCTCTACTCCCAACCCGTGTGTACTGATGGTCCTCTTCCCCACTTAATGTTGTATGATTGTTCAGAATTTCTCTACAGAGAAATCCCACTATCTGCAAAAGTTAGTGGCCTTTTTCCCAGTCTTGGCTGGAATCAGCTTTAAGCTACATCCATCAAACTGTCCCCACAAGGGTCCAGAGACCCCCTCCATTTCCTCTCTATAAAATCCTCTTATTACCTGGTTAATGCTACTCTTAGGATCATTTGTTACTATTCTCACCCTGTCTTTTATACTATAATGTCTAAATGTTTACAGCAGGCTATAATGGAACAAACAAAGGCCTTCAACAACCAGGTGGTCCACCACATGCTGCTACAAAGATTTACTCGGCTCCCCACCCAGGAGACAGCAACTTGAGACATCTCCCCATGCCAGCGAAGAGTACCTCATCGCCCCATGTCAGCAGGAAGTAGCTCTAAAGACAGATCATCGTCCCTCTTCCCCTCTTGGACTTTTGGGACTAATATAACCCCATGCAAACCCTGCTTTATAAAAAACAAAAGGGGGGAATGTTAGGAAACTGGTGCAGTTGTAGCCAGGTGGCCACATGGCCCAGCTACCTGAGCCAGGCTCCACCCCCATCCTAATGGGATTCGCTGCTCCTGCTTCCCTGCCCACCCTCAGGTGAAGTTTTAAAAGGGCCTCTTCCTGCACACGTGTTCTCTTGGCCCTTCTCTCCTGCTCTCTCTCAGTTCCTTTCTCTAGCCTCCTCCTCTGGGCTCTTGGCTCTTGGCCCTTCTCTCCTGTGCTCTCTTGGCTTCTCTCCTCTCTCTTCTCCCTCCTGTGTCTCTCTCTCACAGTCTCCTTCTCTCTTTTTCCTTCGCCACCCCTTCACTCCGGTCTGTAGGGTGTTCCCCAATAAACCCTTTCCCTTACAAAAACAAAACAAAACAAAACAAAACACTACAAGTTACATCTTTAACAAACTGCAAAAAACTGAATTACAGATGTGTATACAATTTATATATACAAACACATAAATACATTATACTGCTTGAAATTATTCTATTTATTTGATGCTCTATTCATGTTTCTGAATTACTTTTGTTTCATTTGAAAAGTTTCTAAAGCTATGTTTTCTTTTTTTTTAACTTTTATTTAATGAATATAAATTTCCAAAGTATAGCTTATGGATTACAATGGCTTCCCCCCCATAACGTCCCTCCCACCCGCAACCCTCCCCTCTCCCCTTCCATTCACATCAAGATTCATTTTCGATTCTCTTTATCTACAGAAGATCAGTTTAGCATACATTAAGTAAAGATTTCAACTGTTTGCTCCCACACAGAAACATAAAGTGAAAAATAATAGATGATTTTTTTTAAGTGATGATGAAATCAGATCAGACCTATTGTCATGTTTAATCCCAGTGAGAGTCAAGTTGGGAATTGATAATTTCTTTTTTTTTTTTTTTTTTTTTTTACAGAAGATCAGTTTAGTATGCATTAAGTAAAGCTTTCAACAGTTTGCACCCCCATAGAAAAACAAAGTGAAATATACTGTTTGAGTACTCGTTATAGCATTAAGTCTCAATGTACAGCACGCTAAGGACAGAGATCCTACATGAGGAGTAAGTGCACAGTGACTCCTGTTGTTGACTTTACAAATTGACACTCTTGTTTATGGCCTCAGTAATCTCCCCATGCTCCAGTCATGAGTTTCCAAGGCTATGGAAGCCCCTTGAGTTCTCCGACTCTTATCTTGTTTAGACAAGGTCATAGTCAAAGTGGAGGTTCTCTCCTCTCTCCTCCCTTCAGAGAAAGGCACCTCCTTCTTTGAAGACCTGCTCTTTCCACTGGGATCTCACAGAGATCTTTCATTTAGGTGTTTTTTTTTTTGTTTGTTTTTTTTTTTTTGCCTGAGTGTCTTGGCTTTCCATGCCTGAAATACTCTCATGGGCTTTTCAGCCAGATCGGAATGCCTTTAAGACTGATTCTGAGGCCAGAGTGTAAAGCTATGTTTTCAAATTTGTTCATCTTTTATTCTCCAGTCTTATCTATCATTAATTCTAATGAATTTGTTATCTCAGATATTCTTAACTTTATGTCCATTAGTTTGCCTCATTTTACATATTTTGTATGCGTATCTAACATATTAAACTTTCTTCCTAACTACTTGAACATAAAGGATCCTGTTACTTGTTTCAATATTGCTCATTTAATATCTGGTTCAGTTTTGACTAGCTGACTTGTCTGTTTTTAACTTTCATAAGTTAAATTATTGTTATTTAAATAAAACTATCCAGTTTTAGAGTTACAGAAAGTTTGCAAAAATAGAGTTCCTTTAACCCCTCATCCAGTTTTTTTCTGTTGTTAACAATATTATCGTATATTTACCCCACCTAAGGAATGAGTATCACAACATTACTATCAACTAATACCTACACTTTTTTGAATTTGGTAGCTTTTATGTTTTTTCTATTTCAGAATCCCATACTGAATAGCATGTTATATCTCATCTTACCCTCATCAGATCTGTGACAGTTTCTCAGACTTGCTTTGTTTTTGATCACACTAACAGCATTGAGGTCAGATTTTTAAAAATAGAATAAATTGGGGGAAAAAACACAGCAGCAGCAGCAGCAGCTTGGGCCTGGGGAGAACACTGGCCCTGGCAGACCAGGTGAGAGCAGAATGCATGGGCACATAGTGCTGTGCATGACAGCAGGGGGAGCTTGGTGAACTGCTTTGAAGTTCCACAGGAGCCCTCTGGGACAGCAGAGGTGGGAAGAGAAACATAAATAAACAAACAAACACAGAGGCTGTGCGCCTCTCTCCCCTCCTCCCACCCTGCTGCAGCAGAAACCTGCAGCCAGCCAGAAGAAGGGTCATGCTGTTTTTTTTTTTTTTTTTTTTTTTTCCTGGCAATAGCTGGGATTGCCTCAGCCCCCACCCAAACAGCAAGTGCTACAAGGCTACAACAACTCCGAAGAGTCCCTTTCCCCTGGCTGTACCTGGCCAGGTGCCGGCAACGGGAGAGGAGAGGAAGCCCTGCCTATAGGAATCTCTTACCCACTCACCACTACTGAGACATGAGCAGGGCTCCGGTGGGCAGGGGCTCTAAAGCGTGGGTAGGCCCTGAACAACCACAAAGACTTCCCAGCATCCCACCCCCACACCGGGGTCCCCAGTTACCCGTAGCAGCTCCTAACAGAAAGAACCGTGTTCACAGGAGACTCCACAGATCAAAGCTGCAGTTCATCAGGCAGTGTACCAAGCCACACGGGGATCTTACTGTGGATACCTGTTCCCCCTGGCATACTGAACATACACCCCCGTACTCCTCTGGGATCACCGCCCTCGACTACCTGATGCCCAGTGTACTCAGACGACTGTCATTATTTGTATTTAGCTTTCATTCTGGTAATAGGATAAATTTCATCAATATTACTCCATCTTTGCCAGAAGTTCCTTGCCTAAAATTTAAAATAGCTGACGAGTATTCACATGCCCTAATACAAGTGGAGCAGTGTCTAAAACAAAGACCATTTCCACACCACAATCATCTCTTCATTTTTCCAATTTTTCGTGATTGTGTCACTCTATCTATAACCTTCACATCTCCCTTCCCATCACCTTCTAATAACAGCCAATTCGTTACCTGTGCTGGTAAAGTAAGTTTTGCATAATTTTTTCATCATCTTTTTTAAATTTTCAGTCACCATCTAACACACACACACACACACACACACACACTGCCCAAGTGCACCTTCCTCTAGTGGAAACTTAATTCCCAATGTGACAGCACTTAGAGCTGAGGGTTCTGATAGGCAATGAGGTCAGGAGTGCGCAGACCTCATGATGGGTACGTGCCCTTTCCAAAGGTGCCCCCAGAGATCTGTTTTGCTTCTTGCGACATATGAGGTTACAGCAAGATGGTAGCTTCCTGGGAAGCAGACTCTCTTCAATAGTAAGTCTGCTGGCACCTTAATCCTGGACTTCCAGTGTCCAGAATTTTAAGAAATAAACTGCATTTGTTTTTAAGCCAACAAGTCTGTTATTTTTGTTATAAACAGAAAAAGACCCATCCACAAAGAAACTGTACTCCCAAATCATTCTTTTTGCATCTTTAGGGTTTTTTTTTTTTTTTCAAAAATGATAATGCTAACTTTTTAATGTATACATATATATGTGTACGTACGTGCATATATATACACACAATATTTATATACACTTACTTTGTGGCTATCTTTGGACTTCTTTCTCCACAATCAGCTGTACAAGGATCATTTAAGTCTTCCTCTCCTCCAAGAATTGTACTGCAAACACAGCACACTGCATGGGTAAGTGAATAAACGAGTTATTCCCACACACTGTTATTTGCCTCCACTCTGAATGTCACTTTGTTTACAGATTAAACTTCCAAGAACACTCTAGATCACTTTTGATCGAAACAGTATCAATGGTCTCCACTTGCATGCTAGCTTTACTATGATTTGTGCTTTAATCTAGCCCTTAAAGCTTCCATAATGGATTATAAATATACATTTTTATTTCTACTTTTGACTGTGAGAAATATGTTTTCCCATTTCTTTCTTTTGACACAACTCAGTGCAAAGACAAAATTTTCTCACTCCAATCTTCACCTTGATTGTTATTCTGAGTAAAACTAAATGCCACTTCTCCATGAAGCTAACTGTCCCTCAAGTCAATGTGGAAAGTCAGCATCTCAACTTCAGTCTCCCAAAGCTCTGGTCCCACGTAACATACGTGCTCATCTGTCAGAGAGCACAGCCTTTATCCTAAGCTACGGACATTTTCCAAAGAGGGGACGGGACCTACTCTCCTTAGTGTTTCCATCTGAAACTGACAGTATTTTTTACTGGAATAATTATCACCACCCAACATGAAACTTTAAGTACAGACATAGTGCTGGCTTCTAGAAAACACACATAATCTTTTATACTGATACCTTTTATTTTAAAATTTAAAATTTATTTTAAAATATGTCAGCAAACAGTGTGATGCATGGTATGTGTTCTGCTGCTTAAATTAATATCCAGGTACAGCCACATACCTTAATAAAGCACATTTTTACAAAAGTCACCTGTTGTTCTACCCTGAAGCTGGTTATACACACCAGAATTTTGTGTTTGTAAAAGACAATAGGTGTCTGTTTACTGTAATTATGAGTTAGAAAAAAAATATTCTCATGCATAAAATAGAAGTTACATGTGTTTGTAGCAGAGTTACACTCCCATCTGCATGAACTAGTTATATGAATGCAGCAAGTCAGGTCACGTAAAACCCTACACCTTAAGGAATGGTGCCAAATCTTGTAACTGCGTCCAGTTTCAGTATTAGATATTAGCTATTAGCTATTTCTGTTCTATGCTGGTTATAAGGACAACAGAATTCTCCCTCTGGAGTGCTTTTGGGTTTCATATCAGAGAACCATAGTAGCTGCACCTCAGATTTGCAAGTAACATATTATGCCAAGAATACTTTATACCTCAGGTTATATTTTTGTTTTCCTTGCCAAACACAAACTAGATTTAAGCAAAAGCTTTGAAGATATTCCTATGTACCTATTAAGATTCTTAAATGTTTTCTTCCAGTTTTTTTCATTAGAAGAAAGTGGTTCACACAGTTCATCTACATGTTTTATTTAACTTGCTTTGCCTGTGACTTACAAAATTCATGATAAGGAAAGCACAAACACTTCCCTAAAGTGTTATGTATTTTTATTAATTCAGATTCTCTGTCAGAGGTGACAAATATGTTTTCATATGCTAAAGAAACTATCCAAATAGGCTCAATTTTATAATAAAAACTAATGTGTTTCTTGCCAACCACAATTTAAATATGACTTATATTTTCACTCTTATGGTGGACAATTTCAGAAAAACGTTTTCTGGTACCTAAACTACACGCTGACCACCACAGCCACGTGGTCAGAGCTTCTTTCCTTCTATGTACAGAAGCCCTCCCTTTCATTACGGGGCCTGTATGTGTGCTGCTATGTGTGCAATCGTACCCACATCTGAAATGCTCTACCTTCATGTACTTACTGAAATCACAGATGGCCTTCAGTTCTACCTTTTATCCCACTTCCATTTCACAATCTCAGCCTACCATGACTGTGAGTCTTTGTCCCCCATTTACTATTATCTGAAATTTGCCTATTTTTAGCATTTTAATATATGCTGCATTTCCACAACTTAATTGCAAACCCTTTGGCACCTCTGTTATTCCCAAAGTGCCTAACAGATTGACTGAAGCTTAAACACACACCTGGCTGGTGAGTCTTTGTTAATTCTAGCACCCAGGAGTGACTGCACCCAAACAAGCACCTTGGGGCAGGCGTTGTCAAAGTAGTTGAGATGATGCTAAGAACACTTGCACCCCATGGCACAGTAGCTGAGTTCAAGTCCCAGCCCCGCTTCACGCTAACACACACACTAAGAGACAGCGGATGGCTCAACCACTTGGGTCCCTGCCACCCACGTAGGAGACTCTGGGCTGCTGGCTCAGCCTGGGCTGTTGTAGGCATTTGGGCAGTGAACCGGCCAGGAAAGATCCCTGTTTGTTTCTCTTTCAAATAAATGAAAATTAAAGGATAAAAAGCGCAACTTAAAAAGACTTGCTATGCCAATAATATGTCAGGTTATTGCCTACAGATGCTCCACTTCAAAGATTTCGTGTAGTTTGGATTTTTCACCTTTATTTGCATAATTATTCCTCTGTCACTTTACTATTTCAATTTTCCAAAACTATGAAAATGCAATTGGAGAAGTGATTGCACGTTTATTTAGAACTGATTCCTCAACAGGAAATCATACCATAAGCAAGATGGCAAAAGGGTAATAATTGACAGCTTTGTGTATCCTCTAAAATAGATCATAAACAAATGGGTATTTCAGGCAGCAGCTGCACCTCACAGCGTATGAATTTAAAGGTTATTTCTACTTAAAAGCAGAGAACAAAATAAATGGAGAAACAAATGTTTTCAACACATCCCTGAACTATTAGCCAACCCAAAAATATTCTTAACTATCCACTATGTGCCGAGGGCACAGAAGCAGACGGAACCCCTGCCTAGGGTTTATTTTCTGGCTCAAAGGCAACGGACAAGTAGATAGCAAACATCCAAACAGGGCGCGAGGATCACTTTGAGGAGTTACAGGTGGGCCAAGCGCGAGGTAACAGAATTCGGCGGCGACAGCAGTGGGTGTGACGGTCCACTTTAGGAAGACGACATCGTGCGTGTGTGCGTGTGTCAGAGACGAGAGGCGTGCAAGTGTATGGTGGAAGGGTCCTGGGGCGGCACGGGGCTTGGGGACTCCTCGCACGAAGCCAACCACACGGGCAGGCGAGGGACCCCGGGACGCCTCGGCCCACCGAACACGCACACCGCGGGGGCGCCGGACACCTACCAGAGGAGCGGCCGCTGCGGCCGTGGGCTCCCGGGCCGGGACATTCCGGAGGCCCCGCCGTCACCCGCGAGCCCGTCCCGGAGGACCAGGAGACGGCCGCCACGATGAACCAGCCCGCAACCCCTCCACGTCTGAGGCGGGGACCGCCCAGGTGACGAGCAGCTTGGGCCCGGCACGGGTCGGTCCCCGACCCCCAGGCCCGGAGCACTTGGTTTGCAGAAACCGTCAGGATGCACCAGGGCCTCGCCCACATCAGGAACGCAGTACGCACAGCCGGCGCTCCGTGCGCGCGCCTAACATGGCCTGCCACAACCCCACGGAGTCTCACTCGCAGATGCGACCCATCTCGGAGAAGCTGATCTGGAAAGACGCGGCAGGTGGAGCCGGTGACTGAAGGCAGACTGAAGACAGACGTCCTGGGACCTGCCATACCGGCCGCACCACAGCGACACAGGCCTGGCGGGCTCCGGCTCATCCAGATGAGCGCTCCTGCACCTGTTCCCAGATGACTCCAGCTGAGAGAGAGGAGGCGGCTGAGCAAAATCGGAGGTGAAGGCCAGTCTTAGAATTGCCTGAGTGGCCAGAAGTCCCTTTGAGCCAGGACCACGTGAACGCAGGGCTGTAACAGGACGCGTGGCTGCCAGGACCCCCCGAGTTAGGTAGGCCGAGTGAAAGCACACATAACCGGGCACGCTCCCCCTCTCAAACTGCGGTTTGATAGCTTCGTTTGCGAAGGAATAACGACCTACCGTTCCTGCCGCAGAGCAGTACGTGGGGCCTGAGCTTCCCAGCCTCTCAGCGGGCTGCGCACCCAGGCTTTCCGCCAAACCGGGGTCTCTGAACAATCTCCACCTTTCTCATATGGCCCAGAGGAAACTCAAAAGACCAGATGTGGTGGACGGCGGCTCCTGTCTGTGACGGTGGTTGCTCCAGCCCTGGCTCACGACTAGGCGTTTTGCAGGGAAGGCTTTTCGTGAGAGGGCAACTGTTGTCATCCCTGCGTTCCTCCAGACACCTGTAGAACCTTTCTTTGGTTCCCAAGACTCTTCATGACCCAACTCTGGGCCCACAGCCTCAGGAACCAGGCCCACGTGTGAAAGCTGGGACTGTCAGCCTACAGTCCTGATGGATCCTGGCCACGGACCTGTGAGAGGCAGGCTGCAGGGCAGCTCCTGAGGCCAGGAAGGTATGGCCGGACCGAAGTCCTGACCCAGAGGCCAGTGGTCTCCTGAGACCACCCCCCTCCCACCAGCTCCTGCCTTGCTGCCAGCCTTTGTAGACTGGCACTCCCCAAAGGGCGCTCTGGGACATCATCACGCTCCCACCCACCCCTTTATACATAATGCTCCATGGCATTCCCTTTCCCCAAACAGCCCCACCCGTGCCTATCCCAAGATCCCTCCACCTCTCCTGGGTCCTTCCTGTTTTCCCTTAGAAGCCCAAGAACCCCAGCCTTGGATGTGTGTGCCACAGACCGCGCCTCCACGTGCCCTGCATGAAAATCAAAGGGTTTCCAGTTTTGCCCCTGTATGCATATTTCCCCCTGCAAAGAACCTAAATCGCACTCCCTCACTGGAAGGCTTGTTATCACATTCCTGGGAGGTGTGGGGTGGCTCAAGATCGTCTCTCCGAAAAACAGGGATCTTTCTGAAACTTAACTTAGAAAGGAGGAGAAACCAGGGTGGAGCTGCAGCTCTGGCGGCAACCCAAGTGAGGGGGAGGGAAGCAAATGCTGCTGCCTGGTGGGTGGCGCCACCGTGTGGCTAATGGCGGTCCTGGGTGAGGTAAGTGATGGAGTGCCCAACTTCCTTCTTGGACCCTATCCCAAGCTGTTAGTCATTTAGGGAGTGAGAGAGCAGATGGGTCCCCTCTGTCCCTCTATGTACGTTGCATCAATAAAAATTTTCAAAACAAAAACAACAACAAAATACCACACAAGGCCTAATAACTTTGAAAGGGGTGGGGATTTTCCTCCAAACAAGATAAAGAGCCCATGGATAGCTCTGGCAGGGGATTGACAGCCTGGTTTTGAGACCTATTTGTATACTCTTGCTTTGTTCTCACTTTGGGAAGTCTCTACCTTTTCCTCAAAACAGAAATGGTTAGAGGGAGGCACAGATTGCATTGAGCAGGCAGGACTCAGCTCACAGCTCTTGGCTGATTCACACATTCTGGCCAAGGATCTAAATGAATAACTGAATGGTGGCAGAAAACTACCTATAGCAGTTATACTTCCTATTTTGCCCAAATATGTGAGTTGACTTCTTAACATCCCCCTGGAAGTGGAGATGAACTTAAATTGAGATAATAAATGGAGTCTCCTTATTAAAAGAGAAGTTAGAGACAGGTCTGTGCTTTGGGGTTGTTAAAGCTCCCTACACAATTAGGACAAATACCCGTAATCATAGGAAACAAAGGAAAACACAAGAGGCAGAAGCACCCCCTCCTCTCCTGTAAGGCACACGGTCCCCCTTGGGCTAACTGAAGATTACCAAGGTCCTCAGGTCCTGAGGGTATTTTTCTTCCCTGGATCTGCCTGATATAAAGCCATTCGATTTGCAGTGTATTACTAATCATGATATGTTATATGGCATAAACATATCGTTTTATGGAGTCTAATATTTTTGTTGTATACTGTTTTATTGGTAGCCACTTTATCTTGGGTATATTTCAGTAAATCATTTCTATTTCTCTGACAGGTACTTCTTCAGAGTTCACCATGTGTGTAGTTTAGTAAGATGAAATACTCTCTTTTCTATTACACCTATCCTTGGGTGGTTTGTTTTATGACTGCAATGAAATGATGTTGTTCCCAAAGTGATTACAGAGAGCCTAGTGTTTTTGGATCCTGAAATGTGGGACCTTCTTTTAGGGGCATTTTTATGGCCGAGAGGACTAAAGGTGCTGAGATCGCGGACATAGTGTACTGCATGACATCATACATTTGGATTCATTCAATGTGTTAGAGATCTGCCACTGTGGTTTGCTTTATACTCAAAAGGGCATAGACCCAGACTCTTTAGGGAGGCTAGTCCTCTGTCACTGTGTTCCCATGTCCACCAAGCTGAGCAGTACTTAAAGCTCTATATACTCCTGCACCCTTGACAACTCACGCTTTGTCCTGTGTCCCATGAGATTGTGCTCCAAACAGCACGGAGTCTGCTCCCCTAATATGCACTTTAATTTCTTAATGCATAAAACATGTTTAGGCAGAGTCAGAGAGGCAGCCTGGGTAAATGAGAGCTGTTGTTTTCATCATCATTATTTTAAAATAAATGTACCAACGTGCTGCTGCTTTTCTTCTCTGTTTCCCTTCCTAACATGTATGAGGTTGCCGTGAGCAAGGCTAGAGAAAATAAAGAGAAATACTATTTGGAAGTAGCTATTTCTACACATTTGTTCTCCACAATAGTTTTAGGAGGCACATGACAGAAGTCAATGGCAGGAGGGGAATGACAGTGTCTCAAACCCACATACGAAAGTGAACATATTCAGAGAGGATGAAAGATTCTGGATATATTCTGAAGCCATGGCAAACATGAATGCCTCTCATTAGATAGGAAGGAAGGAAAAAATGGTGATGGATAAATCCAAGGTGTTTGTTGTTATCAAAGGGAAGGTAGAGCCACCAGCGGCAAGGAGGGCAAGACCGACAACAGGTTGACCTTGATCTGTCCAGTCAGCGCATTACTAAGCTCTCCCTACTAGAGCTGAGCAGTTTTCAGGAATCATCCTACAGATTATCTTGAAATGCCACATGTATATTTGTATTCATGAGATACTAAGTGATGTTTTGACATATATTTACCATGTTGGATGATCAAATCAGGATAATTAACAAATCCATGACCACCACATTTTTGTGGTGAAATATTAAAAACCTACTGCTTGGCAGTTATAAACTACCAATATAATGTGTTATTACTCATTGTAGTCACCATTCTGTGAACAGTCTGCTAACGCTCATTTCTTCTGTTGAAATCAAACTTTGTACATGTCTGCTCTCTTCCTGTAGGCTTCAGTAACCATCATTCTGTTCTCTTTTATGAGGTCAACATCTTCCCATTTCACTTTAAGTGGGATTATGTACTTTGAGGAGGCAGTTTTCTCAATTATTTAATTCAAGTTTAAGGAGTAGTACACAGGTTTCCACTAGTAAAACACCAGATGTAACATTTTTTACATTTGATTATTTTCTATAATGTTATGAAACTATATCATGAATGCTATTGACTTAGGTCCTAGTTTAGCATTTATTAAATTGTTTTTTTTTTTTTTGTTTGTTTTTTTTTTTGTTTTTTTTTTTACTAAGAGGGATAATGTATTTAGTTGTTCATTAACAGTCAGGGCTATGCTGATCAAGCCACCGTTTCCCATAGTGTCCACCTCACTCCAACAGGTTTCCCTCTTGGTGTTCAGTCAGTCGTCACCGATCAGGGAGAACATATGGTATTTGTCCCTTTGGGACTGGCTTATTTCACTCAGCATGATGTGTTCCAGATTCCTCCATTTTGTTGCAAATGACTGGATTTCGTTGTTTCTTACTGCGGTATAGTATTCTAAAGAGTACATATCCCATAATTTCTTTATCCAGTCTATCGTTGATGGGCATTTAGGTTGGTTCCAGGTCTTAGCTATTGTGAATTGAGCTGCAATAAACATTAGGGTGCAGACCTCTTTTTTGTTTGCCAATTTAAATTCCTTTGGGTAAATTCCAAGGAGTGGGATGGCTGGGTTGTATGGTAGGGTTATCTTCAGGTTTCTGAGGAATCTCCAGACTGACTTCCAAAGTGGCTTGACCAGTTTGCATTCCCACCAACAGTGGGTTAGTGTCCCTTTTTCCCCACATCCTCGCCAGCATCTGTTGTTGGTAGATTTCTGCATGTGAGCCATTCTAACCGGGGTGAGGTGAAACCTCATTGTGGTTTTGATTTGCATTTCCCTGATTGCTAATGACCTTGAACATTTTTTCATGTGCCTGTTGGCCATTTGGATTTCCTCTTTTGAAAAATGTCTATTGAGGTCCTTGGCCCATCTCTTAAGTGGGTTGTTGGTTTTGTTTTTGTGGAGTTTCTTGATCTCTTTGTAGATTCTGGTTATTAACCCTTTGTCTGTTGCATAGTTTGCAAATATTTTTTCCCATTCTGTCGGTTGTCTTTTCACTCTCCTCACTGTTTCTTTTGCAGTACAGAAACTTCTCAATTTGATGCAATCCCAATAGTTGATTTTGGCTTTGACTGCCTGTGCCTCCCGGGTCTTTTCCAGAAATTCTTTGCCTGTGCCAATATCTTGAAGGGTTTCTCCAATGTTCTCTAGTAACTTGATGGTGTCAGGTCGTAGATTTAGGTCTTTAATCCATGTGGAGTGGATTTTTGTGTAAGGTGTAAGGTAGGGGTCTTGCTTCATGATTCTGCATGTGGAAATCCAATTTTCCCAGCACCATTTATTGAATAGACTGTCCTTGCTCCAGGAATTAGTTTTAGATCCTTGATCAAATATAAGTTGGCTGTAGATGTTTGGGTTGATTTCTGGTGTTTCAATTCTGTTCCATTGGTCTATCCATCTGTTTCTGTACCAGTACCATGCTGTTTTAATTACAACTGCCCTGTAGTATGTCCTGAAATCTGGTATTGTGATGCCTCCGGCTTTGTTTTTGTTGTACAAGATTGCTTTAGCTATTCGAGGTCTCTTGTGCCTCCATATAAATTTCAGCACCATTTTTTCCAGATCTGAGAAGAAGGTCTTCGGTATCTTGATTGGTATTGCATTGAATCTGTAAATTGCTTTTGGGAGAATGGACATTTTGATGATGTTGATTCTTCCAATCCATGAGCATGGAAGATTTTTCCATTTCTTGGTATCCTCTTCTATTTCTTTCTTTAAGGTTTTGTAATTTTCATCGTAGAGATCTTTAACGTCTTTGGTTAAGTTTATTCCAAGGTATTTGATTGTTTTTGTAGCTATTGTGAATGGGATTGATCTTAGAAGTTCTTCCTCAGCCATGGCATTGTCTGTGTATACAAAGGCTGTTGATTTTTGTGCATTGATTTTATACCCTGCTACTTTGCCAAACTCTTCTATGAGTTCCAATAGTCTCTTAGTAGAGTTCTTTGGGTCCTCTAAATAAAGAATCATGTCATCTGCAAAGAGGGATAGTTTGAGCTCTTCCTTCCCAATTTGTATCCCTTTAATTTCCTTTTCTTGCCTAATAGCTCTGGCTAGAACCTCCAGAACTATATTGAATAGCAGTGGTGAGAGTGGGCATCCCTGTCTGGTTCCAGATCTCAGTGGAAATGCTTCCA